AGATAATATATAAAGTCATGAGTCATTAAGTGCTTTGCAGGTAAGGGTAAGAGGACAGAGGGTGGTAACAGGGAGGGGCACCATTAGGGAGCTCCGGGAAAGGTTTCAAGAGAGAGCTAAGAGGCCAGTGACTCCACAGGACGAAATCCTACGTCGGCCCACGTGGGGCCTTTGAGAACTTTGGCTTTGCTGCTCAGAAGGCCCTGAGTGTCCTGAGCTGACCTTTATTCAGAAGGACCCCTAAGGCTGCACATAGTAAGGGGTGGCAGCCAGTGGGAGTGGCAGGTGCCCTGAAACCCAGCCTAAGGCTCAGGGTGCTAGAAAAAGTATTAAAAGATATTCTGCAAGAAAGTTTCTCTGGAATAACAACAGAGCCTGTGCATTGCTCCAGAGAAACGCATACAGCATGATTTACACTAAGACCCATCTTGCCTGTTACTAAACTTCAAGAACTAATGTAACTATTTTTCGGAAGAAAATCACATACAAGGACAATCAGTTAGCTGCTGATTTCTCCAGCCACATTCAAAGCCTGAAGACAAAATTCTTAGGGAGGGCGGCACCTGTGGCTCAGTGAGTAGGGCCCTGGCCCCATATACCGAGGATGGCGGGTACAAACCTGGCCCTGGCCAAAAACTGCAACAACCAAAAAAAAAAAAAAAAATAGCCAGGTGTTGTGGCGGGTGCCTATAGTCCCAGCTACTCAGGAGACTGAGGCAAGAAAATCAACTAAGCCCAAGAGCTGGAGGTTGTTGTGAGCTGTGACTCCACGGCACTCTATCAAGGGTGACAAAGTGAGACCATCTCTAAAAAAAACAAAATTCTTAGAGAAAGAAAGTACAACCTAAGAATCTTTTCCACAGCCAACATATGCAAGTATAGTGGCCTTAGGAAGACATTTTTAAAATACAAGAACCTAAAAAATAAGTCTTTAAAAATTTTAAAACTGACCTTAAGTCTAGCTGACAAAGATACAAATCAAAACAAAGAATCTAAGTGGTCCAAATACTGGCAGTGAGCTCACCGCACTCACACCCAGGGTGATGAGGTCAGAGTGGAATGTCAACATCAGGTCTTGGTGTGGGAAATGACAAGGGTGAACAGGGAGACAAGTCACTGCTGGTCCTCTCCACTCATAGTCAACTAAGTAGGCACTAAGTGGAAACTGCTGCTGAAAACAAATGGTGCCCATCTCTTGACGTTTTGGTAATGTCTAAAGGTAATCACAGGAGAATCTCAAATTTGGAGTGAAGCAACATTCATCTGATTTCAACATTAATTTTTTTCTCTGAACTATTTTAAAATTTATGAGGAAAAAAAGAAAATTTAGGCTTGGTGCCTGTGGTTCAGTGGTTAGGGCACTGGCCATATACACCAAGGCTGGTGGGTTTGAGCCCAGCCTAGACCTGCTAAACAACAATGACAACTACAACAAAAAAATAGCCGATGGCTCAGCGCCTGTAGCTCAGTGGCTAGGGCACCAGCTACAGAGCTGGCAAGTTCCAACACAGCCCAAGCCTCCCAGACAACAATGACAACTACAACCAAAAAATTGCCCCCCAAAATAGCAGAGCTTTGTGACAGGTGGGCACCTATAGCCCCAGCTACTTGGGAGGCTGAGGCAAGTGAATTGCTTAAGCCCAAGAGTTTGAGGTTACTGTGAGCTGTGATGCCACAGCACTCTACCGAGGGTGACATAGTGAAATTCTGTCATAAAAAAAAAAGAAGAAAACTTATAAGGAGTGGCTCTAGACTTATTTCTATGTTTCCATATATCCTTTCATTTCCATATATCCATTTAGAAATAGCTGGAATAACCTAACCAAATGTTAATAGCTGTTCAGTGATTAGATTGTGGACAAGTTTTTAAAACCTGCATTCTTCATTATATTGCAAGAATTTCTGCATAGCTCACAGCAACCTCAAACTCTTGGGCTCAAACGATTCTCGTCTCAGCCTCCCAAGTAGCTGGGACTGCAGGAACCTGCCACAACACCCGGCTGTTTTGGTTGTAGCTGTTGTTGTTTGGCAGGCCAAGGCTAGATTCAAACCCGCTAGCTCCATATGTGGCTGGCACCTTAGCCACTGAGCTACAGGTGCCAAACTTTTTTTTTTTTTTTTTTGACCGGGGCTGGGTTTCAACCCGCCACCTCCAGCATATGGGACTGGCGTCCTACTCCTTTGAGCCACAGGCACCTCTCCACACTTCCTTTTTTTTTCTTTTTTAAAACATAGTCTCACTTAGTTGCCCTCTGTAAAGTGCATCATAGCTCACAGCAACCTTGAACTCAGGCTTATGGGATTCTCTTGCCTCAGCCTCCCAGTACCTGGACTACAGGCACCTGTTGCAACACCTGGCTATTTTTAGAGGCAGGGGTCTCGCTCTTGCTCAGGCTGGCCTTGAACCTGTGAGCTCAGGCAATCCACCCACCTCAGCCTCTCAGAGTGCTAGGATTACAGGCGTGAGCCACCATACCTGGTCTAAGCCATGTTTTTTATTAGGGACAGTGCTAGGCGTTGCCTGGTAGCACACAGAAAAGACACAGGCTACATCTTGCAGGCACCCCTGCTAGTCCTCTGTGGCCACACCACCCCTGCCAGGGTCTCCAAGCTACTGGCCCCTTCCTGCTTGAGGTGTCAGAGCTGGCCAGCGTCACAAGCTGAAAAAGGTGCTGGAAACCTGGGGAGACCATGTGGCCAGCCCTGACTAGCCTGCATGCTGGAGACTGCCTCCCTGGACCCCAACGCCCCCTGCTCCATGGGGGTACCTAGGTGGGTCCCTACACAAAGCACCTGAGTCCTGGGGAGCCCAACTGCACTGTAGAAAGCTGGGAAGGAACTCACTTGTTGGATATGCAAAGTGAGGACATAGTTTAGGTGTATGGTGGTCACGTGCAGTGTTCACTGGCAGCAGAGGCTATGTGATTCCTGCCACACTGGAGCTGTGGGACTCTGGCCGGGTCCTTGCAGCTGCTCCCAGAGCCTTCACACTCTCAAGCCTGCTTCCCCAGCTTCACCTTGATTTCACGTTGCTTCAGAAACTGGCCCTATCCTTTCTGGGTATATCAGGGTGCACAGATCCCTTCTTATTGCATAGGCTTCCTCAAGTCCTGCCCTAATCCAGGGCTTCACAGCCAGGACAACATTAACATCAGGAGCTGAGTCAATTTGAGTTTGGGGGCTGCTCTGTCCACTGTGGATCTCAAGCAGTGAGATTCTACCCATTGGATGACAATAGCACCTGGGAGAAGGCAGAATGTCCCCTCCCCATAGATGTCCCAGAACCTGTGGACAGATTACATGGCAGAAGGGAACTAAAGTTGCAGATCCATTGACCTTCAAACAGGGAGGTCATTGTGGATTTATCTGGTTGGGCCCAGTGCAGTCCCTCACAAGGGTCCTTAAATGTGGAAGAGAGGGCAGAAAGATGCCCCACTGTTCAGAGGACGGAGCATGAGCCAAGGGCTGGGGGTGGCTAGTTGAAGCTGGGAAAATCTGGGGAGAGATTTTCACCTGGAGACCCCCAAAAAGAGCATAGCTCTGCCAACACCCCTACTGGGGCCCAGTGAGGCCCACTCATACTTCTGCAGAACATGGCTGATGAATTTCTGTTGTTCTAAGACACTAAACCTGTGATCATCTGTTATGCAGCCATAGGAACTAGTGCACAGCCCCTAGCTGCAATACCAGACTGTCTCCAGGCCCTACCCTGCACCCGGACTACCTCTGCTGGCCCTGTGCCCACCACAACCAGCAGGAGGGGGAGATCTAGAAGGGAGAAGAGGAGCAAGCAGCCTGAACTATAGCTCTCGGCCCCCACTGCACCTGCATCTCTCCCACCCTGTCATCACCAGGAGCCTCTGAGGAAGAGGACAGGTCTTGAGGGCTGCCATCCACCTATCCTCTAAATCCTGAGAAGGACAGAGATCCCTGGGGCAGACAAAATTACATTCAGGGGACTCCACAGAGGACGGGGGTGGGGAGCACCTAGCTATGTGATCCTGGAAGAGAAGGAAGCTTTACTGAGTCTTACAGAAAGAAGGAGAAGGGAGAGAGGTAGGAGCAGAGGATTCAACTGTGCGGGGCAGCAGGTGGCTGGCAGCATGGTCAGGTCTATGTTGGCCGTGAGCTCTGGAAGCCAGGCCAGGGCAGCCTGCTGGTGTGTGCTACCACATCCATGTGGTAGCACAAGCCTGGCTCTTGCCCTTGCCACCAAATCTCTTCCACCCAGCCCCTCCCCCTGCCACACAGAAGCCCAGTCAGGCCTCTGACAGTTGCTGAGTTCTAGGGTACTTCACCCACTCTAACCCCAGCTGCTATCTTGCCTGCCCCACCACCCCCCAGGGATGGAGCCACTGCCCTCCTCCCTGACTCCATTCCAGTCCCTCTCCAGCTTGGTCTGCCCAGAATGCAGCCCTGCCAGATCACCCTGAACTCAGAACCCTCCTGCAGGCCCTGGCACACAAAGGTAGTCACTGCTGCTGGCCCAGTCATCACACCAAGCTCACTGTCCAGAGACTGAGGGGCATCTTCTCTCCCAGGGAGCCTCCCTGTGTATCCAGGCCTTCCCAGGACTCCTTGCTCCCACCACTCCGACCATACTACCTCCCCCCGGGTCACATGTGCCAATTGGGCCTTTATAGGCAGGACCTAATAGGACCCTTCAGTGTCCATGGCATGGAAACACCCCATCCCTGGGGACCTCTGGTTTTGGCCCACAGCCTGCTATTAAGCAGGCAGATGCCCAGTCCCCAAGCCAGCCCTCACCCAGGTGAGCAAAGGAGCCGAATCGTGAGCTAGCTCCTGCCTGGACAGCCCTGAGGCCAGGCTGGGGCAGTACCCTCTCCCCTAGTAGCCCCCTGTGCTCCTTGGTCAGGCCTCCCAAGGCCTCTCTGGGCCATGACCCCTGATAGGACACACAGAGGCCACACACACCTATCCTACTGGTAGACCCCCCAAAGAAAGGCACAGGAGGACAGACAATGAGCTAAGTCTTGTTCTTAGGAGGGAGGCGACCTCAAAGTCTCATGCCAGAAAGGTGAGCTCCGGGCCAAGAAGGTGCTGGCAGACTCAGCAGGCCTCAGTGGGTGAGAGAAAAGCACATCCTTATCCACGTCCTCTGACACGAGCTGGGCCACGATGTGCATGATGTCCTGGGGGTGACCGCAGGATCAGGGAGCCACAGGCAGGGGACCCCTCAGTGCTTATGGCATGGAAACACCCCATCCCTGGAGACCTCTGGTTTTTGCCCATAGCTCAGTTTTTTTTTTTTTTTTTTGAGACAGAGCCTCAAGCTGTCCCCCTGGGCAGAGTGCCGTGGCATTACAGCTCACAGCAACCTCCAAGTGGCATTACAGCTCACAGCAACCTCCAACTCCTGGGCTCAAGCAAGTCTCCTGCCTCCGCCTCCCAAGTAGCTGGGACCACAGGCGCCCGCCACAACGCCCGGCTATTTTTTGGTTGCAGCCGTCATTGTTGTTTGGCGGGTCCAGGCTGGGGATTCGAACCCGCCACCTTAGGTGTACGTGGCTGGCGCCTTAGCCGGTTGAGCTATAGGCGCCGAGCCCCCATAGCTCAGTTTTAAGCAGGCAGATGCCCAGTCCCCAGACCAGTCCCTGCCCAGGTGAGCAAAGAAGCCAAATCCTAAGCTAGGCCCTGCCTGGACGCCAGTGCACCTCCCCTCTGTTCCCCCCAACCCCCTGCAACCCACAGCCCACACACCCCACATCCTGGACTCTTCCAGCTGCCCAGCACTGCCAGCCGCCGGCGCTCATCAATGCTGATGCTCCAGTGGCGGCCCCAGCGTCCACAATCCGGTGGCTCACACACCTGCGGGGACAGAGTAGCAATCTCGAGCAGGCTGGGGTGTACCACCTCTCTATGAGCTCTGCACCCTGGGAGGGAGACTCTAGCCTCTCCTGCTCACTCTCTGCAACCCCCCCAGCAGGCCCTCTGGCAATGTGCCTGCAATGGCTTTGTACCGAGGCTCTGTATCTGGACACCCCTCGCAGCACAGTGGGTCAGTGACTGTGAGTTCTTACCTTACAGCTGGTGCCTGGTGAGAGGGGTGCTGAAAGGCAGGGCTCAAGGGTCTAAGCCACACCTTCCTCCTCGCAAGCACCCTCTAAAATCAGAGAGATTTAGAGAAAATATAATGTACTTGTGTCCATTAGGACAAAAGACCAGGCTCTAGGACTGGGTGCTGGTGAATGGGAGGCAGGGCCCTGGGAAAGGCCAGAACCAGGTGCTGGGATGACCTCCACCCAAGGCCCAGCTTCTGGGGCAAGCCATCTGTGAAAATCCCTCCAGATGCTCCCTGACCAAAGGGCATGGAGGGCTGTTGAAGGGGTACAGCCCCTCACGCTCAGACATGGTAGTTTAGCCTCATGTGTTCCCTGAGGAACGTGGCCCTAAGATGGAACAATTAGCTCCAAGAACAGCAACAGGCTGCCTCTGTAAAAAGGGATTAATATAAACACAAAAAGTATAGCCCCGCATTCTCCAAACAATTAAAAATAGAATTACCATGCAATCCAGCCATCCACCTCTGGGTATGGACCCAAGAGAACAGAGAGCAGGAGCATCAACACAGACCCATCTAGGCATCTACCAATGGGTAAATGAATAAGCAAGATGGTTAAATTCTAAGATGGAATGTTATTTACCTTTAAAAAGGAAGAAAATCCTGATACCTCCTGCAGCATGGACAAACCTCAAGGATGTTATGCTAGTTGACCAAGCCAGTCACTTAGAGCAAAGCTGTACAGCGCTACCTGCACGAAGTCCCAGCCAGGAGAAGTGGAAGATAGGGGTCAGGGGCCCGGGGAGGAGAGACAGGGAGGTGTGTTTAAGGGGCAGAGTCCCAGTTTTACAAGATGAGAAAGTTCTGGAGTACTTAGCACTACTGAAATGCACACTAAAAAATGATTAAGATGGTAGAAAAAGTGGAAATTTGGACATAGACTAACATGGAGAGAGGACGACACTGAAGAGATGGCCAAGCACAGGTAAGGACAGAGCCTACAGCACGTTCCCCTGCAGTCTTCATGTGGCCATGCTGTGCACGCAGGGTTTGTGCCCCAAATTCCCATGAAGGCCTCACCTCCAAAGTGACAGCTTTAGCGTTGGGGCTCAGGGAGGTGAGCAGGCCATGAGGGTGAAACCTTAGGAGCAGGAGTAGTGCCCTTACTTACAGATGGTGCAGACACACCCTCTCCCCACATCAGGAGGACACGCTGAGGAGGCTGTGAGCCAGAGGCACCTCCACTGCACAGCAGCACTTCAGACTTCAGCCTTCCAAGCCGTGTGACATAAACTTCTGTTTGTAAGGTCTACAGTACTTTGGTCCCTAGCCCAGACTGACCAAGACAAGCCAACCCTACTGAATGGTGATTTTAGACTTCCAGAGTCTTAAGACCTGAGAAGCAATACATTTCTGTTTTTAAAAAAGTGATGTCCCCAGCCCCAGCTACAGCTGTTCATTGAAGAAAGCCACAGCTGACTAGTTTAGACCCTGCACTGCCCCAGCACAGAGGAGTTTCCTTCCCAGTAAAATGATTAGCCTATGAGTAGCGGCCGCAGACGCTAAGAGCTGGGCGTCCAGTGCAGAGTGATGGCAGAGCTGCCCAGCCGTGTCCAGGGAGTCTTCAGAGGACACTTGCCTGTGCATGCAGAGTGCACAGGGCCCAGCTGTGCAGCCGAGGAGGCCTCCATCAGGAAACACACAGTCCCAAGCCAGCCAGAGAGAGAAGAGACTTGGAGGAGAGAGGGAGATGGCCAGAGGGGAAAACATGCCAACCCTCCTCTTCACCACTGTTTTTGGAGGTAGGATGTGCCCAGAAAAGAAAAGGAGGGCTGTTCAGAGGACAGGAGAGCTCTTCAAAATCAAAGACATAATTTCATTCAGAACTGAAGCTGGATGGAGGTATGGGAAGGTGCTATACTCAAGACCCCTCGCCTGTGCCAGATGACACACGTTCCCTTTGGCATGTGACTTGACAGCATTTCCCACCAGAGGACATCCTCCTGGCCCCTCACATGTCGTCCAGAGTGCAGGCATCACAGGTGCTCGTGTGGCCTGAGAGGCCTCCTGTGTCCCCCATGAGCCACAGGCACAGCATTCCCTGGGGAGACCCTGAGAGTGAGGGGCAAATGCAAGATGAACAGAAGACGAGAGTTCACTCATCTCTCTGAGATTTCAGAGCATCACTACAGCGCATGCTAACACACAAGGATTAGAAACAAAAAAGCACAACAAAAACTGTATAGAACATAGCTGAGAAACATGACAAAACCAGAAAATCAATCCTGCAGATCCAACGTGCACCTGATAAAATTTTGAGGCAGAGACAGAAAACACACACACTCTCATACTCACATCCCAACTGCCCAGAAATGGGAGAGCCAGGCTGGAGGCAGAGAGGCCCACAAAGGACAGAGCACAGGCTGACATGACAAGGACAGTCTTGAAAATCTTCAGAAATAGAAAGCAGGGCACATATCAAGAATCAGAGGTCTGAGTGGCCTAGGGTACCACACAGCAGCTCAGCCAACCAGAAAGTGATGGGACAGTGCCCTGAAGTCCTGAAAGACAATTTCCCACTTAAAATTTTCACCTAACCAAAGTATCATTCAACTGCAGAGATGGAAGAAAGATGTTTTCACATCTTTAGAGTATTTAAAATCTCAAAAAACTTTTAATATCCTCTGAACCCTGCTATACCCCATGAAGACCTTCTCAGGTTAAAATGAGAGGCAAAACAAGCAGGGCCAGCCAAATGGGTCCTGCAGGGAGGGCGCCGGAGAAAGGTGGGCCTATGGTCACTGTGAGCAGCAGTAGGGCCAGGGTTCCAGGAAGGCCACTGCCAAGGAAGGTGCTCCCAGATGACCAGACATGTTTAGGTCTGTGAGGAGTGTCATAGGTTCCTTGGAAATTTTGGGAAAGAATTAACAATTATAGAAAACGGGGTGCGGTGCAATGGCTCACACCTGTGATCCCAGCACTTTGGGAGGCAGAAGCAGGTGGATCCTTTGAGCTCAGGAGTTCAAGACTAGACTGAGCAAGAGTGAGATCCATCTTTACTGAAAATAAAAAATCTAGCCAGGTGTTATGGTAGGCACTTGTAGTCCCAGTTACTCAAGTGGCTGAGACAGGAGGATCACTTGAGTTCAGGAGTTTGAGGTTGCTGTGAGCTGTGATGACGCCAGGGCACTCTAGCATGGGCACAGAATGAGACTGTCTCAGAAAGGAGGAGAGGCAAAGAGAAAAGGGAAAAGAAAAGAAGGAGGTGCAGGGGACACTACAATCTCCATCCAAGAAAGGAGACGTCATGATACCTCAGTCTAAATGGCAGGCTCTGGGGAGACAGCTCTAAGCTGAGGGCACAGATGGCGTGTTCTTTTTTTTTTTTTTTCTTTTGAGATAGAGTCTCAATTAGTCACCCTGGGGTTGAGTGCTGCAGCATCACAGCTCACAGCAACCTCAAACTCTTGGTCTCAAGTGATTCTCTTGCCTCAGCCTCCTGAGTAGCTAGGACTACAAGAGCCCACCACAATACCTGGCTATTTTTTAGAGAAGGAGTCTCAGTCTTGCTCAAGCAATCAATCTGCCTCGCCCTTGAAAAATACTGGGATTACAGGCGCGAGCCACCACTGCCAGCCTGCACACAAGTTTTAATTAGAGTGGCACAGAACCTAAGAGTTCTGAGTAATTAATAGGTGTGACCTAACAGACATAGGAGACCTTGCACAGAACCCGTGCCACAGAGTCCGTGCTCTCATCAAACAAACAGGCTATGCACACAAACTGGCCACCTACAGGTCCCCCAGCCCACAGCAGGTGCCCAGTGCATGGTTCTGTAGCTGCCAAGCAACACTCCAGAGGACACAGGCATTCCACAACACTTTACTAATTAGCTCCTGGATGAAAACATATCAAGACTGAAATGCCAATTTATTTAGAAGTGGGCAATAGTGAAAGCAGACACACAGCCCAGAATAATGACCAAGCAAATCACTGGAAAAGCCAGAAAAAGAAAAAGAGAAATTCATTTAAAGCTTAAAGATGAGATTATGAAAGATTAATGAATAAATAAGAATGAAAAAAATAGTGAACAATGATCACAAATGGGTTCTCTTAAAAAAAAAAAACCAATGAACAGAATTAAGCTTTTCCTTCCATCTTCCTCACTTTTGCCAACATTTTCATGGTCAGCATCCAGTAGTGTCTTCTTTTTAGGAACTGCAAGTCCATAGATTTGATCCACTTTTCTATTTGGTTTCCAAAACAGTTTTTTCATTGCTTTAAGCATCTCTTCATAGATCCTGGCTGTAAATATGTGAACGCTATAAATTTCACAAATGTTTTCTCTAGGTTGTTGTTTAACACTTTGTATCTCTGCACCATACTTTAAAAACTTTGTAGTTAAGATCTGTCAGACTTTTCCTTCAGGGGTTTTGTGTTTGGCCACAGAAAGGCATTTCTCGATCCCAGATTTTAAACACTGCTCTTACACACCTGCTGTGGGTTTAACGGTCAGTGTGTTTTTCTCTAGGAGAGGGAGGCTGCACTCTGCGTCCTCAAACTACGGCCCATAGGACACATGCAGCCGCCTAGGACATTTATCCAGCCCGCCAGGTGTTTTTGTTGCCGCTGCCTGTCCTGCTTAGCAGCAGACTCGTCCCGGGGCCGGCAGTTCAGCCCGCCAACAGTCTGAGGGACAGTGAACTGGCCCCCTGTTTAAAAAGTTTGAGGACCCCAATGGACAGCAAGTCATCCCATACCATTTGTTATTTTTTGTTATGTTTGTTTTTTTGAGACAGAGTCTCAA